AGGTTGACGCCATCAGTCGTGATCTCGTCGAGTGTCATAGCCAGGTGCTCTGGAAGCGGCCGCAGGCGTATCAGGCTATTGTCAAGGAGATTGATGCTGGGCTGGTCAAGTTCAAGGAGAAGGTGCCGAAGGAGCACGATACGCCGCTCATTGATAAGCTTCACCGGAGTATGGTGGCGCGGTTGCAGTTTTACAGCTTGAAGTTGACGGGTATCGAGAATTATCAGGCGACGACGTTGGAGAGGTTGCACATTCAGCGTAGTGCGGTATGTTGTCTCGACACCATAACGTTGCTTACTACTTGTTCAAGGCGGAATGCTGATGGCTGTGACAGCTGTATAACTTGCTTTCCCAGCGAGAGTCCAAGATTCAGTTCCAGATGGCTGGTGAGCAGCGGCGACTGGCGCATGCCAGCAAGCGGGATAGCACGGCGATGAAGACTATCTCGCTACTTGGTGCCGTTTTCCTCCCCGGCACGTTTCTCGCGTCTGTCTTTAGCATGACGTTCTTCGACTTTGCCAAAGGTAAGCGGTGCAATTTTCTTGTCATATCAACACGGCGATCTCGGAATAGGGAGCTAGGTATTTCTTATCAAAAAAGTTTTTGTTTGCTGACTTCTAGAGTAGACGCGGACCCTGTCATCTCCAAGGAGCTGTGGGTGTACTTTGCAATCACCGTGCCCCTGACAATCTTCATCGTCGGCGGGTGGATCGTGTTTGACAGGCGGCGCGAGGGCCAGTTCGCTGTCGAGGACGCCGATCTGGAGAGGAACATTGAGCACATGGAGGCGGATATCATGGCCATGATGAGAAAGCGGACGATGAGCAAGGCGAATACATGGAAGTCAGTCACGTCGCCGATACGGCCATGATGGGCGATGGGGTTGCAGCAGCCTTGTGAGAATGACTCACCAGTGATGAGAAAGGAAATTGAGAGAAAACGATTTAACATTCTGAAGAGGTGGGTATATAGATGGTGGGTGGGATGGTGGATGGATTTTGTGTAAACTATCGCTATCACGCCTTATGACCTGACGACATTTATGAGCGAGCTATATTATATGAAAATTGAAGACATACATATATGATCTTGGTATATGCGAGCTGAGCATTGAGTGACCAGGTTATACGTACCCGTACCTTCACACCAGATGAATCTGAAGGATGAGGTGAGCCAGGATGAACGCGAGTGCGAGCATGAGTTTGGCCCACACGAGCCGGTGCGGCCCGTCCCAGATAATTATGCTCGTAGGGTGTTAGACACGGACACAGGGACTCGATGAAAGAACTAGAAATTACGTGTAATTTCAATTGGTATCGTGGATACAAATAAACCATGACTAGTTATCACTATGTTGATCTTATGAGCAGCGCCTTGGTACTTCGTAGAGATGGCGATTGAAGCTGGAGGATACAGGGATAATGTTGCAGACGAAAAGACCCGGCACTAACAAAATGAGGGGTTCGATTATTGGCGGGGTTGACACTATCCATAAGAAGGTCCCAGGGGTTGGGTTCGTTGCGGTCAGGTTCTGGGCTTGGGTTCTTGCTTCTGTTTCTTTACCGCTAGAAAGAACCCTGTGTCGACATCCCACATCATCCCTGGGATGGGGGCAAAAGGGGGACTGTCACTGGACGCCTCAGCTCACCACTTCCCAGTCCTTTCCCCGCTACCTCGACAAGCTGCCACGATTCGATGCCCAGTTCGAAGAGCTCGAGCGAGCTTTATACCGGTCCCCTGGAGAGAGAGAGAGAAAAAGGAGAGCCACTCAGCTCCAGCCTCTGACCGTATCCCACCCTTGCCAAGCTGAAACGTAACTGGATTTCTATTTTTTGCCCAAGCGGCGTAGCGGGTCAAAAACAAGATTGTTCCTCCTCTCATGGCGTTTCTTCCTAGGTCCCTGCCCATGGATCATCACCCACGGAAAGCAGCGACTGGACCTCTTTTTTTGCTGGGGAAGGGAGCTTGGGGCGCGGGTTGACGTACTGCCCACATATTCACAGTAGGACCTTCGGGACAGCGAGCCGAGTAGGTAGGTAGAGTAGGTAGCTTGGCTTTTTGGCTTGACTTACGTAGCTCCTGTAGCTCTCTCAACTTGGAAACCTTTCTTGACCTTTTTTTCTGCAGTATCACAAGCTCGCGCTACCTGTGCCTAGTGGCTGATTGATACCGGGACACGAGACGCGGATTGTATCTCGTGGTTCAGCTTGCATCAGCCATCGTCTCACTATTCTTATTCTCTCACTCTTCTTCATCGCAAACCTATTCCTAAACACCCTTTTTTGCGTCTTCTCTCACCCATTCTCTCTCTCCTCCTCCTCACCGCCTCATCAAAGTCATCACCACTCCAAAACAGATCATGGCGGACACAACAGCACCAACAGCACCAGCACCGGCACCGGCAGCTGCAGCTGCACCGCAGGGTACCATCGTGTCCGCAACATCGGACCCCTCCAGGCCCTCGCTGCGGTACCAGGCCGGCGGCGGCGCCAGCGAGACGGAGCGCACCGTCAAGACGCTCGGCGACTCGGTCATACCGCACCTGACAAAGATCTTCAACGTCCACGCCGGCCAGGACGACAAGAAGTGGCACAAGGAGCAGATTGCTTCGTTTGTCAAGAACGTCCAGGCCGAGGAGACGCCTGAGTGCCTGGTGGCCAACACGTCTGAAGCGGCAGCACCACCAGAGGAACTCGACTTCAACGGCTTCCTCAACTACATGACCTCGTCCGCCTCGGCCATCACCCGCCCCGTCCACGAGGAGGACCTGTCGTACCCGCTCTCAAGCTACTTCATCAGCTCCAGCCACAACACCTACTTGACGGGAAACCAGCTGTACAGCGAGTCGAGCACCGACGCGTACAGGAACGTGCTGGTGAGGGGGTGCCGGTGCATCGAGATTGACGTCTGGGACGGCGATGATTCGGACAATGAGGATGGTACCTCGGTGAGTAGCAGTGATGAGGAGGCCGTTGCTGCGGCTGCTACCTCGGGTCAAGCTAAGCCGAAGAAGGAGAAGAGGAGCAAGCTTGCGATGCTCAAGGATAAGATGCCCGGTTCTCTGGCGAGTAGGCTGGAGAAGACTTCGTTGGGGAAGAAGATGGATGAGAGGATTGAAAAGTCTACGAGCCCGCCGACGGAGCCGGCCACGGCTCGGTCAGCCGGTACTGCTGCCGCAGCTGCTGCCGCTCCCGCTTCCGCCTCCGTCCCTGCCACCGAGAGCACTACCGCCACCGCCGCTGCCACACCGAAGGAAACGTCAGTCGGAACGGAGCAACCGCCGCTGCAGAAGACTCCCTCGCCGAGGATGTTCCCCATCGAGCCCCAGGTCTTCCACGGCTACACCCTCACCAAGGAGGTGCCCTTCCGGCACGTCTGCGAGACGATCCGCGACTACGGCTTCCACTCGGCTGACACGCCCCTTATCGTCAGTCTCGAGGTGCACTGCAGCGCCGAGCAGCAGGAGATCATGGTGAAGATCATGGAGGACATGTGGGCGGGCCTGCTCGTCCCCACCCCCGACGTAGACGCCACCGAGCTGCCGCGCCCCGCGGACCTGATGGGCAAGATCCTCGTGAAGGTCAAGTACGCGCCGCCGCCGATTGCAGGCGCAACTGACGCACAGGAAGACGACTCGGAGGAAGACGGCAAGACCACGCCGCCGGCAGCACCACCAAAAAGCAAAAAGGCCGCGAAACCCTCCAAGATCATCCAGGCGCTCAGCAGGCTGGGCGTCTACACCCGCGGCGTGTCCTTCAAGTCCCTCGCGCAGCCCGAGGCCTCGATGCCGACGCACATCTTCTCGCTATCGGAGAAGGGTGTCATGGAGGTGCACGAGAAGCAGGGCGACGCGCTCTTCCACCACAACCGGCACTACCTGATGCGTGCGTACCCGTCGGGCCTGCGCATCGGCTCGTCCAACCTCGACGCGGCCGTCTTTTGGCGGAGGGGCATCCAGATTGTCGCGCTCAACTGGCAGAACTGGGATGAGGGGATGATGCTCAACGAGGGCATGTTTGCGGGTACCAAGGGTTATGTTTTGAAGCCCGAGGGTTGGTTCTCCTTTCTTCTCCCCCCTTACAGCCGCCTTTACTCTCATCATCTTTTATTGTCATAAAGCACCCAAAGAATATTGAAACTGACATACAAACCACAGGATACCGATGCCTCAAAACCGGCTCAACCCCAGACCCAGCATCACCCACCACCCCGCAAATCACCTACAAAACCCTCGACCTCCAAATCGACGTCCTCGCAGCCCAAAACCTGCCCCTCCCGCCCGGCGACACCCGCATCTCAGGCTTCAAGCCCTACGTAAAGGTCGAAATCCACGTCGAGTCCCCCGAAGAGCGTCTCCCGGGCGCGCACATCAAAGACGACGGCCGCGAGCGCGAGAGCGAGTTCAAGGCGAAAACCAAATCGAACCGCGGCGTCGACCCGGATTTCAAGGGCGAAGCGTTGCAGTTCTCCAGTGTGCCGGGCGTGGTGGAGGCGTTGACGTTTGTGAGGTTCACCGTTAGGGACGATGAGATTGGGCGGGATGATTTAGCTGCGTGGGCGGCGGTGAGGTTGGATCGCTTGAGGGCTGGGTATCGGTTCGTGCATCTCATGGATTGCGAGGGACGGTTGACGGACGGGGTTGTGCTTGTGAGGGTTACCAAGAAGTTGACCTGAATTTTGTGATTCTTCTCTTGAGAGGGGATGTCGTGAATGGGCCGAGGTGTTTCCATAGCATAGCATTATGAGCATTCAAATTTGGAGCATCCTTATCAGGTTGTGACTTTCACTGTCCCATTACAAAGCTCACTCGTCATCGGATCAATTACCTTGACTCGCTGTAGATTTTAGTATGGACTTGAAGATGGTACAGCTCATACAAATTACATGGGCCCAAGCAAGTTCCGACACCGAGAAAGATCATATATTCAAAGCGGATTATCGGGCACTCACAAAAGGTCACTATTATTCACTTGCTAATGTCAAAACAAGAGTCACGGGTGGTGTTCAAACGGTATTGATATTTCATTCAGAACTCGCTAGTACATAATCATCATCAAAGATGAGAGAGGGCTTCCGCACAAGAGCATCCTCTTCAAGACAGAGTAATATTTTCCACCACAAACATCCCGATACAAAACACGAGAGAGCTACTAGAAGCACCTAGTAGTCATCGTTGTTGTTTCAGTACCCGGCGTTCTCCCGCTTCGACTGGCCCTTGGACTCGAGCTTATCGCTGTTGAGCAAGTCGCCCGCCTTCTCGAGGAACTTGCCGACCTTGCTGTCGCCGCTCTTGTTGTTGCTGCCGTATGAGTCAGAGGTATCGTTGTCCCTGCTGCTGCCGTAGGAGCCCGTGTTGCCAGAGGATCCGTAGCTGTTGTCGTTTTCGTTGTCCTTGCGGGAGGATCCGTAGGAGCCCGTGTTGCCGGATGAGCCGTAGCTGTCTGAGGTGTCGTTGTCCTTACGGGAGGAGCCGTAGGATCCAGTGTTACCTGACGATCCGAAGCTGTCGTCGTTGTCACGGCGGGTGGTGGAGGAGCCGTAGCTGTTGTCGTTATCGTTATCCTTGCGGGAGGATCCGTAGGAGCCCGTGTTGCCGGAGGAGCCGTAGCTATCCGAGTTGTCGTTGTCGCGACGGCTGGAGCTGGTGTTGCCGTACGACAGAGAGTCGCCGCCGGCGAGGTTGGAGGAGATGGAATCGTCTCCGTAGGACGAGGTCTTGTTGCCGGAGCCATAGGAGTCGTTGTCTGTCTTGCGGGAGGAGCCATAGCTATCAGAGGTGTCGTTGTCCTTGCGAGACGAGCTCAGGCCCGATGAGCCATAGCTGTTGTCATTGTCGTTGCGGGAAGAGCCGTAGGTGGAGTCGTTGCCGCTGCGGCCGGTGTTGGAGGAGCCGTACGAGTCGTCATTGTCGCGGCGGGTGGAGGAGCCAAAGCTGTTGTCGTTGTCGTTGTCACGGCGCGAGGAGCCGTACGAGTCCTCGTTGTCGCGGGTGGAGGAGCCGAAGCCGCCAGTGGTTCCCGAGGTGCCGTAGCTGTCCTCGTTGTCCCTGCGGGAGGAACCGTAGTTGGACTGGGGACATTGTTAGTGAGGGAGGCTCGGGTATTGTGTACTAGATATACCACTTACGTCGTCGTTGCCGCCGTAAGACATGATTGCTGTGTGAGGACTGAGAGGTGGTTTTTGGTTGTAAGATGAGTTGGAATGGGGATGATGATGAGATGGTTCTATAAGCTATAATGACACTCGATGAGATTGAGGGGTCGAAGGGTATTTAAGAATTCAGATCAACTTCAGGCTGTGCCATGATGCCAATTACACTCTCACATGCGTTGGACCCTGTTATTCCAACCATCCCCTAGGACTCTCCGGGACCCTCCTCGATCGACAAGGCAGTGGTCCATCGAGCGAGGGTCGCACGCTAGGAAGACGCACGTTTACGCCATACCTGGCACCCCGTCATCCGCCTGTTGGGACTCGGGAGTTGGGGGCCGGGAAAGAAGGAACGAGAAGTGTAGTAGGAAGCTTGTTTGGCCACTCAGAGAAACCGGCCTTTGCCTTGTCTAGCTGAAGGGGGTGGGGACCATGGGGTGGTAATTTGGGAGACGTTGGACCATGTCGCGCCACTTGGCACGTCAATTGGAGAAGCGCTTGTGGTATGCGTGTCCTAGGACCAAGTCGGACTAGGCCAAGATGTTGCCCCTTCAGCTTTGGAGGGGTGTGTCTTAGATGGCCAAGCGGGCAGAGCAGGAACCAGGCTGCGGGATAGAACTGTATGAAAGAGGACTATATCCAACGAGAACCTTGATTTTCCCCTCCTGTGCGGGCGAAGGAGAAGGAAGGGTTCACGGTCAGCCCGGAAAGCATCGTCATGAGTGAGAGCAAATGCCGTCTTTTGCGTCTTGTCGTGGGTGAAGAGTTGATAGCAACCAAGGCGTTAGCTATCATCTCGAAGTCTGGTACGGAGTTGCTTGCACGGGTAAATGGCACCTGGTCCACCGTTATGTCGTCATTCCGGAGACACATCTACGCATCCCTCGAACTGAAAGGTGGGATCGAGAAGCACCATCCTGACGGGCGTACTGGAACTTGCAGTTGACGTGTCGGCAGCGCCAACGTGCCAGCGATGATGTGCGAGCAAGGCACGCAATAGCCTCATCCGCAGGAAAGCTGGTGACACTACTCTTGATGTCTCTGGTCGTCGTCGTACGGATACCCCGCCACAGCTAAGGTAGGTACTCAAGGTGTCGAGCTCACAGAGCTTTGGCGGCACTAGCTCTGCCAAGAAACCTGATTTGAGCAACCATGGGACGGTACCAAGAGAGAGCTGGCGTCTTTTTCCTGCTGTAGTTGCACATTAGGTAGACCTGCCCGGTTTTTTCGGCATGGCATCACATTGGTCTGGAGGAGACTGGAAGCAGGCACGTCGGGAAGCGGTGCTTTGGTGTGATTTGAGATGAATCGGGCTCCCTCCCCCCCTTCCCTTTTCGCCATGTTCCCGTCCATTTCCTTCCTCAAAGTAGCGGAAGAACGGGACAGATGGGGGACTTCCTACCATGGATTCGGCGCTGCCGGCGACGTCAACTGAAACCCCACCTGTGCATCCAATGGTTGGATGGAGACGGTGGATCGGCCTGGACTCCGGTACGGCGGTACCCCACCCGCCAGCTCGACAGGGGTAACTGCGCGCTCTCAAGGTGCAGAACTCGCTCCCAACGTGCCAACCAGTGCCAACAACAGTTACAACACCATCACCAGCTGAGGTTTGCGATATTACCTGCAGCTGGGCTAACTGCTTAGCTGGTCCAACTGTGTCTCCACGTGCGCCCGGCGATTCGACGGACCCCGCCAGAGAGGAGAGCTCCCGGCGCGACGGCGTCTTTGATTTGGCTGGAGACGATGCCGACCTGTCTTGTTGTAGACTGTCGTTGAATGTTGTCATGGAGCTTGCCTATTTCGAGACAGCCTACCCCGCGATGTCTGGAGCTATGACCTGTCGTTGGCACGTTCTGCGCTCCTGGCGGCCTCCCGCAACGACGACACAGGCCTCTCGATTTCCCGTTCTTAATTGAATGTCTCTCCTTGAGTACCTAAAGAAAATCATTGCAGACGCTAATTGACGGAGTAAAAGATTGAGTCTTGGATACTCTGCGTTGAAGATCATAGCTTCATTGTCCAATAAAATTGAACGTGTCCGAAGGTAGAGAGGTGATTTCTGACGACTTATCGTTACTCTCATACAAGCTAGTTCTATTCATCGTCATCATCATTATCATCATCTCCTAAACTATCACACCCCCGCCATACTGAAACATTGAGAACATCCTACAATTCCTCGTTCTTCATCAATCCGCGTGCGCTCTATTTGAGGCAATGTATGGCTCGTGATAAAGGGCCATTCTTACCTGTTGAAGAACAAGTCGCTTACATTGCCGTCCCATTCAACACTTTACTTATATCCAACTACTCGACGCGAAGATGCACCACCACATTTCATCCTCGGAAGATAGTGAAGCAAGGGACAATAAATTCATATTCCCTAGCCCTACAGGCTGCAACGATCGCAATGCTCATCATCTAGCGCAATCCGGGCATACCTCAAGGGCACTAACCTGCGTAAGGCGTGCAGATGTCACTCGTCCAATGTCCGAGCATGCATGTTAAGGCTGGCCTTCACACCACCGGGAAGCATCTCAGCCCTAGTAGCTTCTTGGGATATATCAGATACCGAGATGCCCCCTCCAGCTCTTGGCACGTACAAAGTCCGATCATGGCAAGCGCGAAAAATGCGCAAGATGACGGAAGACGACGTTTCGTTTGACACGATCAACCTGCGATAACATCGAGCGTTACTACAGGAGTCTCTATACTCTTTGATTGAAACAGGAGCTTCTAGATTAATGGACCCTGTATTAGAATCCTGGCCATAAATGTCAAAATATCTCTACTTCTAAACAGACATGTAACACGAGTACATAACATCGCCCATGAAAGGATGGTCTCCGACACACTCGACACAGACATCAACGAAAAAGGAGAAATTCCACAGAAAAGCTATGGTTCTATGTAGAGCGTGGCACTACTCGGGGTCCAGTGACCTGCCACTTGTCTATGGACCCAACACTTTCTCCTCTATCCTGTGAAGCAATTATCACTACTTTCTCTCTCGACAATAAACTTAGTAACACTTAACGTGGTTGATAAGCGAGTGGATCAGACAAGCGAGTGGATCAGCCGACCGCGACCAATATATCTTCCACCCTTCATAGGCGTTACGCCACAACCAAGCATGTCATCACAAAGTAATGAAGGCCAGCTAACCTTAGCGGTTCAGGCTATCAAAACGACACCAAATCTTAGTATCCGAGCGGCATCCCGGATCTACTCAGTACCCTTCTCAACCTTACGCCATCGTCTAAGGGGAAAGTTATCACGACGCGACACTATGCCTAGATCGCGGAATTTGACTACGCTTGAAGAAGAGAAGCTAGTTGAGTATATTCTCGACCTAGATTCCCGATCATTCCCTCCCCGCATTAGAGGTGTGGAAGAAATGGCTAATCGACTGCTCGCCGACCGCAACGCGCCCCCAGTTGGGAAGCGCTGGGCTTCGAACTTCGTCAAGCGACAACCACAGCTCCAGACGCGCTTTTTTCGCAAGTACGACTACAAGAGGGCCCAATGCGAAGATCCAAACGCCATAAACGCGTGGTTTCGCCTTGTGGCGAACACAATCGCGAAATATGGTATTGTGGACTCTGATATCTATAACTTTGATGAGACTGGGTTTATGATGGGCCAGATTGCATCTGGGATGGTCGTCACGAGCGCCGAAAGGCGTTCAAACACGAAAATGATGCAGCCTGGTGACCGTGAATGGGTTACAGTCATTCAGGCCATTAGTTCGTCGGGCTACAGCGTCCCGCCGTATATCATCGTTGCAGGCCAATATCACCTCTCCACCTGGTACACGGAAACCAATCTCCCACGCGACTGGGTCATTGCAACGTCTGACAACGGATGGACAACAAACGAAAGAGGCCTAGATTGGCTCCAGCACTTTGATCGGCATACAAAACTGCGTGCAACTGGCAGTTATCGCCTCCTCGTCGTCGATGGGCATGAAAGTCACCACGCTGCCGACTTCGAGATATATTGCAAGGAAAACAATATCGTCACACTCTGTATGCCGGCCCATTCGTCTCATCTGCTTCAGCCCTTAGACGTTGGGTGCTTTGGGCCACTAAAGACGGCTTATGGTGGACAAATTGAGGATAAGATGCGCCGGGGTAATACGCATATTACAAAGGAAGACTTCTTCCCTGCGTTTCGCGAGGCTTTTGCCCAAGCTATTACGGAAAAGAACATTCAGGGAGGTTTCAGAGGGGCTGGGCTTGTCCCTTTGAGTGCCGAAAGTGTGCTTTCAAAGCTTGATATCAGGTTACACACTCCAACACCTCCAGGATCCCTCCCAACAACACCCCCTGCGTGGACTTCTCAGACGCCAAACAACCCAACAGAAGCATCTTCTCAGTCTGAACTCATCAAAAGGAGGATCTCCCGCCATCAGAATAGCTCACCAACTTCAATTATTGAAGCTGTTGAGCATCTATCAAAGGGGGCGCGTGGATTTATGCACCAGATTGCGTTATTAAGGTCTGAGAACAAAATCCTTCGTGAGGAAAACAACCTACTAAGCCGGCGCCGGAGGGCTAAGAAAACACGTCTCAGATAAGGAGGAAGTCTTACTATAGCTGAGGCTGAGGACCTTCAGTCGCAGAGAGAAGCAACAGCTCAGATCGAGGAGGAAACACGCCGGAGTAGTGGTCGCCGACCGAGGACCGAGACGGGCCAACGGCGATGTGGCGTCTGTGGGAACACTGGTCATAATGCACGAACATGTCAATTTGCTGAAGAAATGTCTGAAGAAGAGGATCTTAAATAGTTTCAATTGAATTACTTTTCTTAGTGCTGCGTATCGGTCGCAAATGTGCTGTGGTCGCGGTCGGCTGATCCACTCGCTTGTCTGATCCACTCGCTTATCAACCACGTTAGCGGTTATGGCAATCATTAATATCCTGCCGGCTCCGGCTTGACCGGGAAGGCGGACGCATCAGTGTTCCCACGGCACTGGTTCTTCCAGTCAACAGGTGTGTACCTGTCGACAATAGACTTGAAAGCGGCCTGGGCTCAGGTCAGCTACGCGCAATCATTTCACAAAGGGGGTCTGGAAACTTACCAGAGTACAAAAGGACTCATCGCCTTCAAGATGGTTGCCGGCAGCCTTGCAGCCGGGGATAGTCACCGGCTCGTCATTGTACCGAACCCTCACGTAGTAACCATCTAGCTGCTTCCTCTCGGCATCTGTCAATGCAGGGGTCGGCTTACGACCAATGCCTGGCGGAGCCGCACCAGGCGCCTTTGTGCTAGCACGGCCGGCGGAGAACCATGAGCCGAACCAGCTCCCATTCTTGGGTGTCTGCGTTTGACTTGGTGGGACCTTGGAATCGCGGAACATCTCAACAGCGACATGGCTCGTGAAAGGAGGCCATTTGTCTGGA